TACTTCAAGTGAGTCCATCTCCAAGCATTTTGACTTAATAATGTGTCACTGGCTATAAAAAATAACTGTTGTGATCGTCCCATCGTTGGTTTATTATAGCAGCAAAGATGTCCAGAAAGACAACTGCAGGTCATACTTTTCTGCACTGGGTGCCGCAGACTTCTCTGTGGCCTCCGAAATTTTGAACAAAGGCCCACTGCTGCTCAATGAAGCAAGAACCTGCTTGGTGAGTGTCATTTAAATTAAAAGTTGTCAGGATGGACTGTTTCTATGGCAACAGAGAGCAACAACACAGTGAAAAATGTGATGGTGTACATAAGACATTTTATACACATTCATAACTTGCTTATCCTCTCGTCTGTGAACAGTGTGTCACTAGTTACACTGCCGAGGTTGTATAGTGACACAATATTACATGAAATACTATTTTTAAATTCTAGGGCATAAATGGCACAAGTCTGAGTAGAGACAACGTGGAGGTCCTGGGGAACATGGCCTGCACTATGAATGGCTCTTACATACAGAATGCACATCCTCTCATCCTGGAAAAGCTCAAAGCCTGCAAGGACTTCTCTGACAGCCAGGTGGCTGCCATGGAGACGCTGTTGCTGACGGGGAAATCACAATATGGGTACAACGATTAAATCAGTTCCTTCGGTCTCTGAGTGGTGAATGTTCGTTTTTTTTGTGATATCGCTGACAAATTTTGACAAATCTTCTCAACATAGTCTTGCTATGTGCAAGATCAATAGCACTGGGTTTACATCAAGGTAAGTTTTACTGTTCTTTCATCGTGTCCCTGAAAGAAGTATGCCACTGGGCTGTTAACATTTTTTATTCAAACCAAGCGAGGGTCACAGTAAGCAGAAGGTTACCAGTGTGATCGCTGTGTTAGATGTTTGTTACTGAAAAGAAGACAGCTACTGAAAGTCTTTCTTAATGTCCTTATTTATTGTGTAGGATTAAACACAATCATACCCATGTGGCGTCACCATCAACCCCATAACCCTGACGTGTAGACTAGTTACTTTTTTGAGGAGCTGCATGTTAGCTGTGCCTTCGCCCCTTAACACATAAATATACATTTAACATTATTTTCATCAAAGCTAGATATTTGTGACCTGTTTATAAAGATCTTCATTGGACTCAGAAAATGGACACTCATGTTTTCCTTAATCCATAATTTTAACATTTAATTATGAATAAATCATTATTAGTTTGATTTGTATATCTTTAATGTCCAGACGTTACAGATGTTACATCCTTCACCACCAAACTGACAGGAAGGTTTGCAAACCAGACTATAAGATCATGTCGTCTTCTATTCCCAGAAATGTCAGCACCTGGAACCAGCACACACTGGAGGACCTTGGAATCCTTCCTCTATATTTCACAGAAAACATTTGGGGCCAGATTAAAACTGTATGTGTTTAACTTATTCCTCTTTCTTGATCGTTAGACATGCATGGCACAGAAATCAATACCTCATATTCAGTTCACTTTGTGTTAAACCAGTGTCTGTATGTTTTTTGCAGACAACAAAGAGAAACTTCCTTAAGATCTTTATGCCCAAGCTGAGGAAAACAAAGACAGAGAAGAGGAAGCTCAAGATGCTGTTTAAGCAGATCAGCAACCGTATGATAAGCCCAAAATCAGGTAAATGTGTTTGGTACTTTTTTTTGCTGAACTTAGTCAGTTGGGAGAAAATGAATAGGCAACGTTTCAGGTAAGTGCTATTTGTAGCTTTTGCTGAATAGAGGCTTCACAAGTCAAAAGTATGGAAATGACAGATGGAAAGGAATGTTTCATTGTGAAAAGAGAAGTGTTATTTTCAAAACTACATACACTTGCACTGAACTATTTTTCAAAAACAGATGTCAAACATTTTATGGTTCAAGCTGCTAAAATGCCGTTTTGAAGACGTCACCTTGGCCTGAGCATTCTTCATTTTTATCTTTTCTTATGGACGAAATAGCTCTTTGCATTATAAAGAAAATAATAGGCATATTAATCCATATCAAACATAAGTTGCGACCCTAGCAGCACTCTCACTGCCTCTCTAAATGCTCAAAAGGCTGCACCGTGGGCAACATCACCCAGGTGACGGTTAGCGACGCTTCCTTCCCCTTTCGCTACGACCAAACACAATTTGACCTCTGCCTGGACATCACTGTTCTAAAAGACAACCTCAACTCCATCTGCGAGAAAGTGGCTGATGAGGACTTCCACAAAATCATTCTGCAGAAACTCCACCAGGTAAGTCAGGAACGTATGAAATGTTTTTGAGAAAGAGCCACATCGCGTTTGATGGCTTTAGAGACAAAGTGGAACAAACCATTTGAGATTTTAATTAACATTTCAACACATTAGCATGTGTTACTACAAGTTCTCTGCTCTTCCAGGCCTTCCCGTCTGGTGTTTCTGATCAGGATGTCCAAGTGCTTGGCTCAGTGTCTCGCATGGCATCACTCGATGACATTTCTAAGTGGAACATCAGCAGGATTGACACCTTGGCAGCTCTCATGAAAGCTGAGGATGGATCTTGGGAGGCAGCAAAGGTATGACAAGAGGGACTTTCACAACTACAGAAGTTCAGAATTACAACACTGTTCCTTTAATAAATGCTCATGCTTGCATATATGCTTCCTACTGATACACTGAATAAGGTTTGCTCTCTCCATGTGTTATGTTTTTAGAGCAAAGAAATCATCACTAAGTATCTGAGTACTTCTGGGAAGTCCCTGGGCAGCATTGAGCTGAACGTTATTGGATCCAACCTGTGCTCATTAAACACCAGTACGCTGAAGACCATCAGCCCAGACAGCATCAGGTTGGTTTCTGCAGAAACACAAACCTGGACACTGTTAGTGGAAGGAAAGACGTAATACTGAATGTTGTTTTCTTCTTTCACTGTGCCAGAAATGCGAGCGCTCTGAATGTAGAGTCATGTTCAGCTGAGCAGAAGAGCGTCCTGTATCACATCAGTCACGCTGCCTTCCACTCACAAACTGGCAATCCCAGCATCTTTTACAATCTAATAAAGTCCTGTTTAGGTAAGAACACCTTTTATCTGTCTTAGTAGTTATTTGTCTACCTCCCAGAAAACCAATCTCTAATTTCCCGTTTCCTCCCCTCTCTGACAGGTGGAGCACCTCTGTTGGACATCATAGCACTGTCAACACACAACATCAGCATGGACG